AAAGTAATTTTTCAAACTCTAACAAAAAATTATATTTAAAAGTTATTTCCCAATGTAGGACTTAAACTTTTTTATTCTTTAAATAGGGCTTAATAATGACTAGTGAGAAGAATAATTTCCAAGTGATGCTGGACATTTCGTTTGTTGAATAATGACTAATAGATAATGACCAATGGTCCTACATTTGAAAATAAAAACATATGGTCTTATATTGAGAAAGTCATTATGTTTAAGTCCCTTAGATTATTCCTAATGCTCAACTCTGCTCATCACTCCAAATATGTAGTCATATCGGTGCTCATTGCACACACTCTTCAATTTGAGCTAGGAAAAACTTTATCATACATTAATTATATGGTTAATCTTTACTTACTTTGTTTAGTTTCACTTTCGAGTTTGTAAGATAATATAATCATCTTCTTTGCTTGTTTTTTACTAGAATTTTTTATTTAGTTTATTTTTATTATATAAATTTTACTTTTTAATTTTACACTTACATTCAAGAATTAAGAATGACCTCTTTTTTTAGATATGGCAAGAATTAAGAATGATCCGAAATCGGCTATTTTACAAAAACTCGAATTGTCCTCTTTTAAAAATGACCCTTGACGAATTCTAAAAAAATGAGTGGTCCTAAGGGCATTTACAATGATCCCAAATCGGCTCAACTCCTGCCATATTAGCATTCCACTAACTTATTCGTTCCGCTCCAAACTCCTTCAATGATATTGCCCTGAAAACCCATCAGTCAATTTTTTATATTATTCTTAATTTTTAATTACAATTTTTTTAAAAACAAAAAATATATTTAATTAAAATAAAAATGTTAAGATTAACATTCTTTATTAAAAACAACATCAATATAAAAGTTGAAATACACCAAAACATAATTAAATTTAAAAACAAAAAACATAAAAAAATTAAAAGACGAAATTCTTAAAATTAATGCTACAATTAAATATTATTGCGCCTCTAGATTTTTTCAATCAAATCATATTGGAGGGTAGCATAGATTCATTCATCTCGCATACTTGCACGCCGATTTGCAAAATCTTGTAACTCTGGAGGTGGCCCTTGCGTCACTAGGCCTTGGCGAACGGTGGCCCTTGAAGTGGATGCAACCTCCTCATCTACAAAGCGAGTGATGTTGGCTCCCTCATCTTCAACTATCATGTTATGCAGTATAATACATGCAAATATGATGTCCGAGATGAACGATCGGCAGCACGAGCGTGTTGGGTCTTTCACAATCGCCCACCGTAATTGGAGGGCTCCGAAGGCAAGTTCCACAGCTTTCCGTTCGAACTCTTGTTTCTGCGTGAACAATGCCCTCTTTGGATTTATCTAACATGTGATTGTTTTCACAAACATCAGCCAACATGTATATATCCTATCCGCCAAATAATATCCCATTTTATATTGGCGACCCTTGGCAGTGAATTACACGAGTAACGCACGTCTTGCGTGGACATCATAGAATAAGGGTGATCCATTCAACACATTTAGATCATCGAATAAAGGAGACCCACTAGCGCACGTCAAGTGCAAACACATGTGTCAAGGAACCAACTCAACCAAAAGCTCAGGCTTGTGGTTGTGGCCTAGGAACAGTTATTTATATTCTAACAACATGCGAACGAATAATACACAACGCATTCGAAAACACTGACGGAACTGTTCGCCAGAAAAACGCCGAGCGTGTGAAGAATAATCTTCAAACAAACAGGTAGCAGCCTGTTCACGTTCATGGCAAATGTACCTCGCGTACGTGGAACAAGAGGAGTAGCAGCCGCCGCAGCTTGTCGAGAAATTTCACGTTGCTTCTTCGCTTGGACGTAATGCAAAGTCTCATGGTACTCCGTGATTAGCATATCCACAACCTCCTCATCTGTTGGAGGAAGAACCATTTTTTTATTTGAGAGAGATGAAGATGAATTAAGAAAATAGATAAATTGATAGAGATGAGATTAGATGGATTGAAGGGGAAGATGGGTTGAATTTATAGGGTTGAAAGAAAAAAAAATCCCGCTTACAGTGGGCGGCTGCCGCGAATATCAGCGCCTGGATTGCACCGCGATTGGGGACAGTGCCGTGGCGTGGTAGAAGTTCTGTAGTAGTGGGCGAACAGCAATTTTTACTCGAAAGTTGTGCGGTTTTGGAGAAGTTGCAAATGCCCTAAATCCACCCCTCCTTATTTTGTTAAATCCGCTATATTAATTAGAAATAACTTTGTCCTATTATTCTCAGGCATGTCTTGGGATGGTGGGCTATACATGTGCAAAAGATTATCCCAGCATGGCAGCATGGTGGATTTGTTTGAGGAGGTTGGCACAATTCTCATGAAGGACAAAATTCAACTACTTTTTATGATTTTTGGGAGGTGTGGCAGCAGCACAACCAGCTTGTTTGGAAGAACAGGAGTTTGAGCGCAAGGTTGATATCAATTAAAGCAGCTCGCAATCTACATGAATGGCAAACGACATGCTCCGCGACTCATAAAGAGGGAGATGGCTCAGGGAGGGGGCGGGGTTGATAAGTGGAAAATTCCAGGTAGCGGTGTCCTCAAATGTAATGTGGATGCAAGCTTCAATAGAATTTGTGCAATCAACATATTTGTACTATTCCATCTAATCGTATTGTGTTTAGCAAATGTTATTAGTTTTATATTCCTAGATTTACAGTAAGACTTCCATGCATTCGAATGAAGATGAGTAGCCTAAGTTTTTCTTAACCCACCCTCAATATTATTGGTCAAAAGAAAAATATTATCATGTGTGAGATTTATTGAAATCACGAAATGCATAATCCAATATAATTATTATCTATCCAATGACATGTAACACCCATATAAAACAAATTATGATAAGTTTTACTCCAATTAAAGTATTAGAACAAATAGTAACACGAGAATTAAAAGTGAGAAAAAAATTTACCGAATTATTTTTTCAACTTTATATTGTCTAATAAATTCTCTCTTAATTATTTTTCATGAAAATTCCCTTGCTTGAGGGTTTAGTGCTGTTTTACAATAATCAATAAATCCAATTTTTTCTGAAAAAAGAAAACGTAAATTTTCCTCACCAACCATTTTGCCCATTTTTTGCTTATTTTGCTCATCGCTATAAGCAAAAAAGACCACCCTTACTCTTGTTCGCAAAACGTGAAATTTGGGTCTGTACTTGTCCCTTCTTCTCCAACATTTTGGCATACTCAACGTGGTGCCTCGCTTTGAGGTGTTTGGTCGGTCCCCCATAACCCCCAAGAATTCCTTTTTTTAAGACTCTCCCATAATGAAGACAAGTTCCAAAAACTAGGTCACTTTTTGTATCTTAACTAAAATGGTATACAAATAAATTAGATTTAAGTTTTTTACCTTTCACCGAACTTTCAGAGGTCTCGGGCTCACCTCTCTCCTCGTCGGTAGGACCATTGCTCTCGGGTGTTGATTCCACCTCCTTTTCAACGTCCTCGAATATATCTTTAAGAGTTTTAAGATTGACGTCATTCTTACCTCCCAAATACTGCTCGAATCCTAGATTAGTCATAACGTCGTTCATGAATTGATAAGGGATTGTAGGAAAGGAAGAGACAGAGTGCCTTCCTTGAGAAACACATGAGCTCGAACCTTCAGAGGTGGCGAAGGCTTTGTCTTTTTTAGAACCTCCTTGGTTCACAACGCTCATATCTACGGATCTTTTACCAGACTCTCTCGACATTTTAATATATTTTTATATTTATAAAAAACATGACAATATATTAGAAATTTAGAATATTATAATATTCTAAATTTATAATATTAATAATATAATACCTTCAAATTTTGAAATATATTATAATATAAATATATAATAATATAAAAATTTTATAATATATGATTATATATTTATATAATATAATATATATAAATATAAAATGTAGAAACGATAGAATTTAGTAGAGATTAAATAGAGATTAAGAGAGAAAGAGATTGATGAGTGAATTAAAAAATATTAGGGGAGTATTTATAGGTAAAAAATAACCTCCAACCTCCAAACCCCCTACCCCCTCCAAATGGCTATATTGCCATTGGAAACGCTCCCCAGGGCCCACCAAGTTTGCAACGGTTGCAGGAAAGAGATAAAAGAAAAAAAATACAAAATTGGACCGGAATCGCCGGTTCCGGTGCCAATACATATACCCCACAACTGGACCCGTGAATGCCGGTTCCGGGTCCGGTCCTCCGTACCGTTTCACCGTCTCCGTAATCGGTCCTGGTGGCGGAACCGTTGGTTCCGGCGCTGGCACCGATTACGTACCGGACCGTGTCCAGCCCTAGGACAGGTAATCTAATTTAGAACATAGAAGTATTCTCTCTGTCCAAAAATAATCTTCCCACTTTGCGTTGCGATGTTTAATTGTAGTAATTTTCAAATCATTTCATATGAAAATAGTGTGGAATTAAATACTCCGTAATAAAACTACAAATTTAAAAACTACATCAAAAAATCTATAAAATTAGAGGTAACATGACTATATTATTTTATCAAATTGGCAATGAAAATCGACCTCGACCAGCAAAATAAATAAAGTTTGACTCTAGAAATAGTAAATGGAAAAATAATTTTTGAACGAAAGGAAGTAATTTTTATTTCATAATGTCTTTTAAAAAATGCGAGGCTATACCCCACCCAATTGTTACCCGGGGTCCTCCATCTTTTTGGATGCGCGAGTGAGTATGAAGTGAGAAGGTAACTTTATCCACAATCAAACCGAACGGCTGCATGTATGTGCAGTAAGACTGTGTTTGGTTAAGTGTGCTGCGCCCGCCCAAGTGAAGGAAAAGAAGACAACGCAGGGGATGAGGGGTATAATCGACAATTGGGCTGCGGAGGCGAGGACACGTGTTTACTTAGCTCCACTTCCACTTGTAATATGTACACGACCCGCCCTCCAACTTCTACACCCATCTCATAATCAATACTAGGAGTATATATATAAAACCATTACTACTCTTCCAAGCTAAGAATTATTATTAATTTATTAAATTACTATATATAAACACACATACATGATATCCCTTGATTCCCACCATTCAACCTTAATCAATCATGGAAGACAGTGAGGATTGTTTTACTAGAAGAAGTCCAACGTTGGGAGGTCAAGGAAAGGGTGCATGAGGGGGAAGGGCGGCCCGGAAAACGCTCTCTGCACTTTTCGGGGCGTCAGGCAGCGCACATGGGGAAAATGGGTGGCCGAGATCCGTGAGCCCAACCGCGGGGCCCGCGTCTGGCTCGGGACGTTCAACACGTCCCTCGAGGCGGCCCGGGCCTACGACGAGGCCGCCCGGAAACTCTATGGCCCGTCCGCCAAGCTCAACCTCCTCCCCGCCGCCGACGACCGCTCCTCCTCCTCCCCGTCCTCGTCCACCGTCACCGGGCCCCACGTCTCCGGCGAGGCCTATTTTTCGTCCTCGGCGACGGTGTTGGAGTGTTACGCCGAGGAGTGCTCGGTGCTCGACGAGGCTTCGGTGTTCCGGGACCGCAATGGGAAATATTTGCTCTGGGAAACTCCGGCGCCGAGCTTGCTCGACGACGACGAAAAAATAGAGGATAACTACACCATCAAATAGAGGCGAGGGGGTTCAAGAAGTGTTTATGGTCACATAATTAAACTAAGTACAGTCTTTGTTTTGGCGAACAATATATAAATTGGTACAAAACTCGTGTAAAAAAAAAGCTTATGTTCAAATATTGTAAATTAAATATAGCTTCTTTTTCGTACAATTTTAATTATGTATATGAAGAACTTGAAGCATATACGGAGTGTATATATGACATAGTGCAAATTAAAACTCATTTTGCCTAGAAAATTAACACAATATTCTTCTAAAGAGGTGATATATGCATCAAACAACTAACTAAGCGGCGGCCGAAAAAAGGCTTAATTGGAAAATTTGAGTAACAATGCCTTTTTCAATAATAATTATCACATCTACATCATACTTATCTTTATATTTAGGATTATTTTAATTTATTCATTCAATAATTATCCGTAAAATTAAAATTTCTGTTATAATTTTGTTATTTAAATGGAGATTATTTTTGTATTTTGTTAAATAATCACATTTATTTTACACCTAAATTTATTAGGCTTGAAATGAATTTATTGTTAGAAACAAAAACAACTACAGTGGCATGTGATTTCACAAAGATAAATTTAAAAAAAAAACTAAAATAATTGATCACATGTATTTTAATTTACTTGATTTTGGACTAATTAAAATAATCACATTTCACCCAAAAATTAAAATAATCACATGTATTTCGTATTCATATGTAAACTTTATCCCAATTCGATCCCTAAAGACCTAAAGTTGAGGATGGGAGACGAACGAGATTGTTACTCCACTTTTCAAAGACCTAATTTAGGAAATAAGTAATTCAAAGAATCATTTCAAAAATTTATTCAAAATTTTATTGATGGAAAATACCCAAACACCTTTAACTTAACCACTCTACTTCTTCCGTCCATGAATTTTTTTTCTTTTTTCTTCGATCTATCTCAAGAAAGATTTCTCATTTAACTTACCTATCGTATCACCTTATTGTCAAATCTATTCACTATTAATTTATCTATCAAATTCTACATTTTAATCATTACATTCAAGAATATTTTTAAAAACTCAACACCAAAATACGTTCTATTAAATCCCTTCAAAATCAAAATCTCTCATGTTTTCAGGGACGGAGGGAGTATGTGATATGATAGAGGATTAGTGCAGAGTGACTAAATCTTAATTACTACGTATAAAATATATATCATGTAGATAATTAGTACTTATTGAAAATCAAAAGAACTATTATAAGAATTTAGCCAAAGTATTAATGCACAAATATAATTAAAGTCACCATTTCAACATCCAAACCAAAAAATACGGAGCTAGTAACACTGTAACCGTTTTTACCAAAGTTCTGAAAATATAAGCATCTAAATATCTGGGTTGGCCGGCCCACTTGTTAAACTTGGTACTTGAATCACCAACGGCTAACTAAAAAATTAATTACTCTTATCCTTTCTAACCACCTCCCTAAATATATCTCTCATCTCACTTTTGCTTCTCCCGCCTTTGAGTAATTAAATTGCATTTAATTGCAGTTTAGATAGGGGTCAAGGGGCAAAAGCGGGGTGAGCAGGAGCAGCAAAACATGAGAGATATGTTTAGGGTGGTGGTTAGGAAATCAATTTTTTATTGGAGCATCGTTGATACCCTAGTGTGCAATGAATGTGGTATCACCGTACCATGTGATGGTGTAACTTTACCGCTCCTCTTTGATTTAACAATCGCTCTAACATGCGGAATTAGAGGAAGCAGCCCCCCACCCCACCCAAACAAAGATCAAACTAATTTGTACCAAAAAAAGATCACACTAGTACTCTACTACTCTAGTAGACTAGTAGCTAGCATAGTGATTTGAAATATTTTAAGAGTAAATTTTCAAAATGGTACTCAATAATTATATATTTTTCCAAATTAGTCTCCAAGATGAACTACTTACCGAGTTGGTACTCGCTAATTGAAAATAATGCCCAGTTTAGTCACTGACTAACGGTCATCAAAATAGAGTAAAAAAGACATTAAAACTTATACTAATTTTCAAAATTGATCATATAATTGAATGCTTTTTCAAATTTGTCTATATTCGATATAAAAACTCATTTAATATGAAAAAACGAAGCATGATTCTTCCCTTTTAATTGGTTCACAGTGTTGGAGAGAAGTCGGGAGAGCATTTTTAATGAGATTTTTTTCGAAAATTGACTAATTTAGAATAATTCGACTAGAAATGATCATTTTGGAAAATTGACTATTTTCAGTTAAAGGGTACCATCTCGATAATTCGTACTCCCTCCGTTCCATAAAACCCTTCACCTTTCGTTTTTTTGTAATTCCCTAAAACATTTCCACTTTCTATTAAAAATCACTTTTACCCTTATTTTTCATACCCTACCTATCACATTATACTTTTTCACTAATAATAACCAAACTATCACATCTTAGTTTTACTCATCAATCAGGGGCAAAATTGGAAAGTCAGCCAAAATTACACTTTCCTTATTTTGGCCTAAAGTCAAAATAGGAATGGTTTTAAAGAACGAAGGGAGTACATCTTAGGAACTAATTTAGGTAAACACATACATATTGAGTAACATTTTGAGAATTTACTCATGTTTTAATTAACTTATAAATACAACCTTCGATAAAAAAACTTAACATTTCATTTATCTTAGCTAGTCAGTATAGAACAAATGTAATTTCTAAACATTTGTGTGAACCACTACTTTTATCCATCATATCAAGAGTATTTTTTGGAAAATCAACATAAAAATCAAAATGAGAACAATTTCTTCAAAACATATTCTTACCACACTTTTCACATATGTATATACTCCCTCCGTCCCCAATTTGATTACAAATTGCGGGTCACGGAGTAAAATTTGCTACTTTTTGAAATCATTTTATTTACAAATTGGTATATCGAGAAGATATAAAAATTACATATTAAAAAACTACGTCAAAAGTTTTACAAAAAAAGAGGTGACAAGAATATTTTATTTTATCAAATACTTAATGAAATCACGCAAACAAACAAAAGTTATCGAGAGGAGAAAGAAAAAAAATTGTAATCTATTTAGGGACGGAGGGAGTATTTTTTTAAATTTATTAATCAAACTATGAAAGTCGGTTTATAGCCGGTGGGCGCTGCGCAGTTGGCAAAGGCAAAGAGTGTCAAGATGGTAGGCTTGATGAGTTCGATTCCTGACAACTGCGCTGGAAGGTAACTTTGCTAAGTATAGAACTTCTGCAAGTACCAGGTTCAAGTTCTATTCCTATCGTCAATTTGTGATTAAATTCTAATTTATCTTGTCTCAGTAAATGTTCGGTCAAGTCTTGGGAGGAGATGGGTTCATCGTTTATGAGAGTTGGTTTATAGATGTATTTTATTAACTTTTAATGATACAAACAATATTTTAGCTCCTCCAAAATATTTCCAAAATTACTTTCAAACGGAATAAAGAGAAATTAACATTAACTTTTACTTTTTCTAATTATCACTATTAATGGTAACATTACTGCATTGGTTCTGAACTTAATTTAAGAACAAAGAGTCTATCCATGTTGTTGGCCTGTGTTTTTGGGCGTAATACTCCGTATAATTTTTGGGTCTAATATATTTTTTGGGGTCTAATACAAGTGATGGTACATTTATTTGAACCGGTGGACGCTGGCTACATCAAGAGCCTGAATTTTTGGGTCTAATGTAATGCATCATGCATACGAACGTTAATGCTTCATTAAAATTAAATACTCCCTATGGTATTGTTTTTCTACCAACGGCATGCTTGTTTTAATTATGAAGCTAGACTACACCAAAATGAGATATCTCATTTGTACATTAAACAAATACTAACAATCACAGATACTCAATGTTTGTGTGTGCAGAGACACGTATGACACAGACACATAGTATTTGTGTGTGTGTATTTGCTTGGTGTACAAATGAGATATTACATTTTTGTGTACCGCTAGCATTATTGGTGCTTTTAATAACACTTTTGCGCAATGTGCGAGCATGGTAAAAGCAATTGGTTGGAACATTACAACAGGGATCTATTCATTTAAATTATAAAATCATAGTTGGATGTTAGAAAAAATAAAAAAGAGTTAAAAAAAATTGAATGAAGTTGGAAGAGAAATAATGAAACAGAAATAATCATGTCTGAGTGCCACAATCTATTTTCAAAACTTGGGATCATCCATCAGAAAACCATGACATTACACCCCACAACAAAATGGGGTTGTGGAGAGAAAACATAGACACTTATTGGAAACTGATACAGTTTTAAAAATTCATCCCAATCTTCCAGTTTCTTTTTGGGGAGATTGTATCCTTGCAGCCACATACATCATAAAAATGCATATCTCTATGGCTAAGTTACTTTGGAAAACTCATTATGAAATCTTCTTTGGAAGCCCACCTTGTTATGACCATTTGAAAATCATTGGTTGCTTGTGTTATGCTAAAGTGGCAGGTAAAACTCATGACAAACTTGCACCCAAGGGTAGAAAATATGTTTTCACAGGCTATCCTTTTGGTCAAAATAGGTACAAGATTTTTGATCTAGATAACAAAACTTCTTTCCCCTATAGATTCTCTTCCATGAAGATAATTTTCCTTACGGAATGCCTATCATCTTCTTCCCATCAAACACCTGATTTCTTTTATCCTACTCCCATCTTCATCACAGATTAGATGATCAAAGTCGTCCTATTTTTTCAGATGATCTTCCATCCAATCTTCCATCTTCTGAACCTCTCATTACTGATCAAGTTCCTATAGCCAATTCTCCTTCATCTGAACCCATCATATCTGATGCAGTTCTTACATATCTTGTCCATTTTTTACCCTCTCAAACTTATTCCTCCACACCAAAAAGAATTATTAATATTCAAACTAAGTTTTCACACTTCATATGTCTTACTCTTAACTCAAGAACACAAACTCATTGTTCCACAACTCATCCTTTGTTTTCTATTGATACCTCTGATTCTTTGCAAGTTAACTTTACAAGTTTCATAGCAAATGTGTTAACTATCCTAACACCCACCACTTATGGTCACGCTAGCTAATACCCAGGGTGGGTCAATGTCATGTCTCAAGAGCTTGCTGCATTAGAGGCTAATAGTACTTGGACTCTGTCCTCACTCCCTAAGGGTCACAAGGCAATTGGTTCTAAATGGATTTACAAAGTCAAATATAACCCAGGTGGTACCACTCAATGATTAAAGGCAATGCTTGTTATACAAAGTTATGACCAAAAACTTGGGAAAGACGATAAACATACCTTTTCTCCTTTTGCAAAATTGCCTACTTTCAGGGTTGTTATAGATATAGTTGCTGCTTTTGGTTGGTCCTTACATAGATTACACGTTAACAATTCTTTTTTGCTTGGTCATATTGATGAGGACATATTTATGTTGCCTCCGAAGGATATTTCAAATCTTTGCCTGGTCAGGTTTGTATGTAAATTACAGTGCTCCATCTATGGTCTCAAACAAGCTTCTAGACAATGGAATATAGAAGTAGGTGATTTCTTTGTCCACCTTAGTTAACCTCAATCCAAATAGGAGTATTCTTTATTTGTCAAGAAAAATGACAATGCTTTCAATATTTCCCTACTCTATGTTGATGATATGTTACTCACAGGAACCTCCCCCTTGGAAATTTCCAATACCGAATCTGCACCGCCGTGATTACCTTTCCGAGTCGTCGGGAATATTAATCTGTCACTACTCTTCGTCTTATTTGTTTGTTGGTTCACTTGATTTGTTTAATTCATCAAATAATTGAGGTAAGTTCGTGGGTTTGTTTTAGCATAGAAATCATAGATAGTGTTAATTCGTATGCATAGTCGATCGTAGATTTGTTTATGTGATCATGATTGTTTATTATGATTTATTTAAGTTATAATATTATTGGAATTGATTGGTTGATGAGCGAAGGACTAGGTACGTTCTACTACTCTACTTTTGTTGTGAATTTTGTGTTAGTAATCTTGATAAATATTGTATAATGATAATGGTTAGGTTTAGAGTTGTACTCTGTCCTCTGGCTGCAATTTCTGACTCAGACGGTAGCTAGATATCGTCCAACGGTACTTGGCTACTGCTACAAAGAAAGTGACTATTGGTTCGCTAAGATGACCCAGAGATCATACGATGTCTCATTCGTAAAATTAACGGTTCATACTCTTTCTAATCCCTTGATAAACCCCACCCCAATCCAAACCCGAGCCCACCTCCCACCCCCTTCAAATGCACCTTGCTTGGCCCCAAAGTTTACTTAAGAAATAGGTAATATGTGTTGAAATATTGGAATAATAATATTACTCCTTGAATAATGGAGTACATGATACAATATATATATGAGAAACTCCAAATACAACTAGAAATAGAAAATGAAAACTCACTAAAATACTACATGTACCATAAATATGAATAGGAAGCTGACTAATAATCAAATACTACCATGACAATTACTACCATAAGTAATACTATTATTATTGTCTAACAATAAGTTTTGCTTTTATACTTCTAGTTTGTTTTCATCAATTTATTCTTATTAGAATTACATGAGATCAGATTAAAACTTATTCCAAACAGATGAGAGTCAATCAAATTAGATGAATAAAACAATCTGATTAGAACCAATCATATTCGAATTTTTTCTTTTCACCTTCATTTTTCTGTCGTGCTAAAATTATTTTCCTCTTTCCTTAAATGGAAAATAAATACTACGTAAAATGTAAAAGCTAAGACTCGTTTACCCTTAGAATTAATTTAAAGTTCTTCATTCATATCTTAATAATAATAATAATAATAATAATAATAATAATAATTATAATTATAATTATAATTATAATTATAATTATTATGATTATTATTATTATTATTATTATTATTATTATTATTATTACTCCCTCCGTCCACAAATAAACTTCCGGATGCGCGTTATGGTGTTTGACTGAAGTTATTTTCAAATCATTTTATATGAAAAATGGTGTAAAATTTAAAAATAAAAATTACATATTAAAAAATTATATCAAAAGATCTAAAAAAAATAGAGATGACATAACTATATTATTTTATCGAATGAGTGACAAAAATAGGCTAACAAAGTGAATAAAGTTTGACCCCTTGAATAGTGAATGAGAAGTTTATTTGTGGACAGAGGGATTATTATTATTATTATTATTATTATTATTATTATTATTATTATTATTATTATTATTATTATTATTACTCCCTACGTCCACAAATAAACTTCCGGTTGCGCGTTACGGTGTTTGATTGAAGTTATTTTCAAATCATTTTATATGAAAAATGGTGTAAAATTTAAAAATAAAAATTACATATTAAAAAATTATATCAAAAGATCTACAAAAATAGAGATGACATAACTATATTATTTTATCAAATGAGTAACGAAAATAGGCCAAGAAAGTGAATAAAGTTTGACCCTGTGAATAGTGAATGAGAAGTTTATTTGTGGACGGAGGGATTATTATTATTATTATTATTATTATTATTATTATTATTATTATTATTATACAGTACTGTTGGTAAAATTAATGGTTCCTACTCCTAACTCCTCCTTTCACCCTCCCTACTCTTGGGTAGTATAGTATATTGGATTTATATTGCTAGTATACTGCTACATGGTGGAAGTTTAAGAGGAGTTAGAAAATAAGAACCATCAAGTTTATAAATAAAGGAGGGTAAGAGGGTTATTTTTTTCCAAGGTCAAAAGAAATTTGCGGTTGTCTAATACTTACTCCTGCATGTCTACATGTTAGTCCGAGTTTATATTACTCTATATTTGGTGTTACATGGGAGAGTTAAATTAAAGTAATTGTTGAGTTGTTCATCCCACATCATATCGTCAATATTGCAAACTTATATTGTGCTGTTATTTAATAACTTCATTAACTTGGGTACATCAACCTCTTGAGTTAACTTTTAAGGTTGAGTTGGGTCCAAGCAAGTCTATTATTTCAAAAGTATCCGCGCGCGAGCGGATTAGAAGAAGAAGTAAACGCACGCATTGGGGCATGCATTTAACTAAATTAAATTCCCCAGCTTAACAACTAATAATTAACTGTCCCATGCATGCATTGATTATTACCGGCCTCCACATTACGTGTTTTAATTTACTGCATGAATGTAATTGCAGCAGCGGTTATAATTGTTCTTCCTTAATTTCATAGCTTAGCTTTGAATCGTTAGTAGTAGTAGTATAGGATTCCTTCTTAGATTATTATTATTATATTATTATTACTCCGTGTATATATATATACATAGATAGACATTAGTCTTCTACTCCAAATTTTATACACAAAATATATAGTAAATACCACATTTGAATAATAGGAAGTCCATCGTAATAATATATATATATATATATATATATATATATATTTCGATCGAGAAATTATATTGATGATGAGAATTTTGGGTTTTGGGTTTTTCATAGTTGTTGCCTTGCAGGTAATTAGTAAGAATAAGGTGGAGACAGTGGAGGGCGGTGGTGGAGTTAGAGCGTTTTATGTGTTCGGCGACTCGCTGGTTGACAACGGGAACAACAACTACCTTGCCACCACCGCCCGTGCGGATTCTCCGCCTTACGGCATAGACTATCCCACTCACCGCCCCACCGGTCGTTTCTCCAATGGCCTCAACATCCCCGACCTCATCAGTACGTTAATCTATATATATGTATCTCTTTTTGTTGTGTTTGTTTTTGTTTAATTTATTCATGATGAGTACTTCTTGGTGCATAATGCTACTTTGACTCTAAAAATAAAAACCTCACTTTTAATTCCACTCTTACAAACCTTACCGACATAGAACAGTGTGGGATATCTAAGATTTGTAAAGATGTGGTGTTAAAAGTCAGGTTTATACTTTGAGAAATTTACCTAAATAGGACTAAAACATAATGACTTTTCCAATATAGTACCATATGTTTTTTATACTTTAGGGTTAATATAGGCATTTCTCATACAGGGTATTTCACACGCCTCAAAGAATTTTTTTTAGAAAAAACATCTAAATAGAAGTACAAGATAATGAAAATAAAAAAAGAAATATTTGCACTAAATAGCACTAAAACTTAAGTCATTTCCCTAAATAGCACTTAAATTGTTTTATTCCCTAAATATCACTTAATAATGTCCATAATGGCGAATATTTACTTCAATAATGACTAATGCATAATGACTAAAAGTGCTATATTGGGAATTATGTTTTAGTGCTATTTAAGTAAATTTTTCATAAAAAAAATAGACTAGAGCAATATTCCTTTGATTACCTATCACGCACATTCCCACACTGCCACCCTGAATCCCGAGCACTTGACCAGTGGTTCACCACCATATTACCACCACACTTCTACTATTTACACTGTGTCGGTCGTGTCGGACAAATTTAATTTGAGTTGGGGGCAAATGCCCCCTACTAATTATTTTTATAAGGCAACCCTTTTTAAGTTTTAGATATATCAGCCCCAAACAACAAGTAATGTGATCACTATCTAATTAGACTAAATTTAAATTTTTTGTTAATTTTTTTAGTAAAGTGTATTTTATTGCACATAATTAATTGTTTATGAAATAAAATATTACATTACCTATTAATAAATGTTTTACGCACTAAATGTTTGAAATAAAATTTAGTATTTTTTGTCATTTCATATAGTCTATTACACAAAAGAAATATTTGCACTAAATAACACTAAAACTTAAGTCATTTTCCTAAATAGCACTTAACCTGTTTTATTACCTAAATAACACTTAATAATGTCCATAATGTCCAGTAATGACAAATATTTACTTGAATAATGACTAATGCATAATGACTAAAAGTGTTAAATTGGGAAAAAAACATATGTGGTGCTATTTAAGGAAAGCCATTATGTTTTTGTACTATTTGAGTAAATTTCTCATTAAAAAAATCTGTAGGCGCTGCATCTCCAAGACCAATGCTAACCCATCTACCCAATTGCACTGCTAATTATCATCACACGGCCAACATTTACATGGCAACCTCGCAACCCCTTAATTGATCCTACTAAAGACAAACCGATCCTACTAAAAAAATGCATGGTAATTAATTTATAATTCGTATATATTAACGAGTGTGTAAGTGCATGCAGGTGAGAAGATAGGTTCGGAACCTCTAATGCCATACCTGAGTCCGGCGTTAAGTGGGAAGAAGCTACTGGTCGGTGCCAACTTCGCTTCTGCCGGCGTCGGTGTCCTTAACGACACCGGAATCCAATTCGTATGTTCCCTAGCTTCTACCTCCCTATATATACCGACCGGCCACCTTTTATTCCATTCCATTTCAAGAAGAATACAATAATAAGGAGAAATTTAATTACTTAGGCTCCGTTCCGTTAAACTTACTTTTTCTGATCTGATCTGATATTAATAAGTTTTGATCTGATCTGATCTGATTAGATCTGATTGGATCTGATCTGGTCTGGTCTGATCTGATTAATTATGATTTAATTTAAAATTTCAAATCAATAATTTGATTTGACTTTATAATAACGTTTGAAAATTGTAATGATAATTTATATTATAATATAATCAATATTTTTTATTTAATGATTATTTTTTAATAAAATAAAATTAGTTAATTCATATATTAGAATAATCATTCATATTATAATGAAATAATATTTTTTATTTTATAATTATTTTTTGTGAAATTAGAATATTAATTTAACATTTTAATAATTACTTCGTATATACATTAGAATAAATATTAAATTTAGATATACATTAAAAAGTAATTAAATTTAAATAATCAATATATCGAAGAGATAGTATTTTTATTAAAATATCTCATCCTCATAAAAGATCAAAACTTTAGAAACTCAAATTACAAGTAGCAATAAAAATATATTTTAAAAGTAGAATTAGATTGACATTGTCAATGTATTTTAAAACAAATTTTTCCGACGTCTAATAATTAAGGATTACTTTCTCAGTTTTCTATTTAACCTATTTCTAAAGTTTATTCTTCTTCATTTTTAAGAACAATAATAATAATAACAATAATAATAATGATGATGATGATGATGATAATAATAATAATAATAGTAGTAGTAGTAGTAGTAGTAGTAGTAATAACAATAATAATAATAATAATAATAATAATAATAATAATAATAGTAATAATAATAAAATTAATAATTCTTGATGGGATCTGATTTTAATAAGTCCTGATCTGATCTGATTGGATCTGATCTGATCTGATTGGATCTGATCTGATCTGATTCGATATTGATACTAGAATAGTTTTACTAGATTTTTAATATGAAATATTTTCAAAATATTATTTTATCTAATTAATATACAATATATATTTTATTTAATTATGGGTCAAACGTTCAAAACGGAGGTAGTATTGTATGGTACTAAAACATACTCCCTCCGTCCCTAAATATTCACAACATTTGCTTTTTCAGCAGTGTCGGGAACTTTTGTTTATTTCGACGTTTTCATTGATTATTTGATAAAATAAAATATTTTTGACACCTCTTATTTTGAAGAACTTTTCATGTAGTTTTTTTATATGTAAATTTTACTTTTTATTTCTTTACCAATATGTAAATAAAATGAATTGAAAAAACTTGATATTTTGCCTCGGGAATACAAATGTGACAAATAATTTGGGACGGAGGAAGTACTACCTCCATTCATGAATACTTGTCCAGTCTTAACTTTTTTCGATTCACTGTTTTCAATCTTTGACCCATAATTAAATGAAATACTCCCTCCGTTTGGGAAAACCCTTCCCACTTTGAAAATAAGGCAAATTAAGGAAGTGTAAAATTATAGTTGACTTCCAATTTTGCCCCTGATGTGATGGGTAAAGTAAGATGTGATGGATGTATTATTAGAGAAAAAGTATGATGTGATAGGTAGGGTATGGAAAAGTAAGGTTAAAAGTAATTTTTTAATAGAAAGGGGAAGTGTTTTGTTGGAAGTGAAAAAAATGAAAGAGGAAGTGTTTTTGAAAACGGAGGGAGTATATATTTTATATTAGTTAGATAAAATAATATTTTGAAAATATTTGATAAAATGAATCTAATATAACTATTTTTGTATCGATATCTAATACGGAGTATCATTTTTATTTAATTTGAGGTCAAAGTTTACCAATTTTAACTGAAAAGAGTCAAAAGTAGACAAATATACTCAGGGGCGGAGGGAGTAGTTAATTTTCCAATGTAGTATTATACGTTTTAATTTCTCAATGTAGTACTAATATTTAATAGGAAAAATTGCCCAAAATAATCCCAACTTTACCCGGTCTTTCAAAAATAATCCCACCTTTCACTGTGATGCATAATAATCCCAACTTTACTGAAATTTGCCAGTTTTGGGTCGCCGTTAAGTTTCTAACGGAGGGATAACGGAAATGCCCGTTTTAGACAACAAAATGAAAGTTGGGATTATTNAAACTAACTTGAAATTGGAAAAAGTAAAATAAAAATATACGGGTGGGTTTTAATATTTTAGGCATTATACAAAGCATTAACATATCACTTCTTATTTTTTAGAAAAAATTATCTACAATAATTCCAACTTTACCGGACGGCTTGTTCTTTTAAAAAATAAGTAGTACATTAAGACTCCGTATAGTGTGTAAAATGTTAAACCCACGACTCCATTTATATTTATTTTATTTCTTACCAGTTTCTGTTTAATTTCTATTGATTACATTATTTATTTGATTAATTTTGAATGGTTTTAGTTATTTTTCTCATTTTCATTATTTTTTATATCTATTTTTTTTCTAAGGTAAGAATAATCTTTAAAAAAGAAAAAGAAATGGAGGTTGAAAGTAATTCAAAAAATTTAAATAAAAATTTCAAAAAAAAATTAAAAAACAAAAATTCATCAAAAATAATCCAACTTCCATTTTGTTGCCTAAAACGGGCATTTCCGTTATCCCTCCGTTAGAAACTTAACGGCGACCCAAAACTGGCAAATTTCAGTAAAGTTGGGATTATTATGCATCACAGTGAAAGGTGGGATTATTTTTGAAAGACCGAGTAAAGTTGAGATTATTTTGGGTAATTTTTCCTATTTAATATTCACTGGACATTGCTTAAGTTAATGTTCACTACTTCTAGATATCGTTGAAGTATTATTTAGGGAAAAAAAAAGTTGTATATATGTTTACTTTGGGTCTATATTTAAAATGTGGACTTTCTTACATTTTTCACAAATTTGCATCTAGATATTTTCCTTTTTGCAATATGCCTACTACTTTAATCCTATAAATACACCAAAATCCATAAAATTATGAGCATGAACCTTAGGTCCACGAAAGAATTTGTCATGTTTTAATACTAGTTGGTGGAAATTTGAGATGTAATAATATATCTTGACATACATATAATAAAATGCAGGTGAACATAATAAGGATCCACCAGCAACTGGATTACTTTGCGCAGTACCAGGAGAGATTGGCAGCCGTCGTCGGGGCGGCGGAGAAGGCCAAGAAGCTGGTGAACGAAGCCCTTGTTCTCATCACCCTCGGCGGTAACGATTTCGTCAACAACTACTTCTTGGTGCCCTTTTCTTTCAGGTCTCGCCAATACCCCCTCCCCGACTACGTCACCTTCGTCATCTCCGAGTACAAAAAAGTTCTAAAGGTAACAACATTTATATTTTCCTATATTTACACATACTACTCCCTAAATAGCACTTAAATTTGACATCAAACACCTACCTATGGTGTGTTTTAGACCCGAAAATGATTCCTACCCTTTAACCCGGATAAGAATTACGGGTAGGAATTATTTTTAGACTCAACGAAGCTCTAAAGATGCCCCCAAATCAAATAATGTCAAAATGAACAAACCCCATGTGATGGAATTTTGAATGGGGTAGGGGTTATTGAGCTGGGCCATAAGTCACTTGGCCTGAACCATATTAAAAGATTGAATCAAAATCGATTACTTAGTTCAACTCAAGAGCTTACATACCAATTATTTCTTTTATTTTCACTTTTCTGATGTGGGATAGTAAACTCTAACACAATGGATATTTAAAAAGTAAATAAAAGTGAAATGATTTTGTGGGGGTGGGAAGTGATCTTGAAGCTAAAAATCAAATAGTTGTTGTAATTAATTAAAATATATAAATATTGGATGATGCATGTAGAGACTATATGATTTGGGAGCTCGGAGGGTTCTAGTTACAGGGACGGGACCGCTAGGGTGTGTGCCCGCAGAACTAGCACAGCACAGCCGCATCGGCGAATGCGCAAAGGAACTGCAGCGCGCCTCCGCCTTGTACAACCCTCAACTACTTCAGATGATTAAGCAACTCAATCGCGAGATAAACCGCGACGTGTTTATCGGAGCCAACATTAATCAAATGCATTTGGACTTTATCACTAGCCCTCAATCTTTTGGTAAGTTTTTATTACCCTCTCCATATATTTTTTGAGACCATTATTGATTTTATGGATAATAAATATAAATGGATGGACAGGATTCAAGACATCAAAGGTGGCATGTTGTGGACAAGGGCGATTCAATGGGCTTGGGTTGTGCACGCCACTGTCCAATTTGTGCCCAAACCGAAACGAGTATGTATTTTGGGACGCATTCCACCCATCGGAAAAGGCCAACAGAATCATTGTTGACCAGATGTTAAAGGGCTCCAATGACTACATGCATCCTATGAACCTCAGCACTATCATGGATTTGGACTCCACCAAGAAAGGCATATATAACTGATTAATAAGATAATTATAATGAGAAAATAAACCTTTGCCATTATTAGTTATCGAGAGTTTTATTTTGTATGAATTAAATAGTTCTTATTTCATGAACAAACTTGTGTTAAATTATCCTTTGGACGAATCTATATGTGATTAAACGAGGTATGTCTTTATTAAATTGCTTTCCTATGTTTCCTATTGTATGTGATGGGTGGAAAGGTGGTTCACAAAGTTGGTGGACAAATTACAATAGGTTGGAATATATATTGTTTGTTGGTCATGTATGCATCAATTATCCCGCGACGAAGGCTATGTGGGTCAAGTCCCAATCCAATGTCGTGAACGCTTGTATGTCCTACATAGGTTTTAGAAGAATTAGTATGGCCTGATGTCCTACATTGACAAACGCAAATATCCAAAGTGTTAAATCAAATGTAAACAATGAGACGAAGAGATGTTTAGAATTTTTTATATAGATCAAAAATCCTCTATTTTCATTTTCAATCTTCTTTTATGAAGATTGGTGAAAGTAACTAATAGGAATAATACTTTGTATTAATATATCTCTCAATATTTTTTGCATTGCTTTAAGAGCTTGGTATTGTTTCGATGGGCTTATATTCACGTACCCCTTCATGAGAGAAGGGGTATTTACACATCTTGGTTATGTACTGTTTGGTTTCCCACATTTGTTAAATGACAAAAATTGTGGGACTATAATTCCACTTAGGTCGTTCTCTTCAATTTATTTTTATTACTTTTTCTTATTGTAATCAGTTTACATCAGATCTGAAACATCTTTAAATATAACTAAAGTTAGATCAAATCAGTTTATAACGTATTCTAATCATATCAGAACCATTCAGATGTGGTGAAAAGAACGTCACCTTAGTTGCCATAGTTTATTTTCAGGTTGGTCCACCTTAGCCTTCAAATTGTGGACTTACTATTTCGGTGGCTGGTGCCTGCTAAGGCCCATTTTTCTCCCCATCAGTTTTGTTAATTCACTTACTTCCCATTATTTTGGGTATTAAGCATTTATTTAGTTACAACTGATAGATTGGGCCGGGTATTTATTTTTTTGCCGTATGGCCCAATATCCATCGGAGTGCATTTATAAAGTTTTCTGTACAGAACAAAATTCAACATAAACCCAACCATTTTTTTAGTCCAATGGATTAAATTTGAGAACTAATTTCTTATTTACCTATTGATCATTTTTGTGTATAATATATTAAAGTGTTCGCTTCGCTAGGAAAAATACATGTTCTCTAATTAATGGTCAAAAGTGTTGTCAACATCTTTGATAATTAAGCCCAAAGGAGACTGCTTATAATTAGATGTCTATTTTTGCCAAATTTCAAACATATTTAACAAAAGTCATAAAAAAAGTACTCCATCCGTCCCCCTAAGATGTTCTCATTTTGACTTTTGAGGGTTTTTAAGGAGAGTTGAAAAAAGGGGAAAGTTTACCATAATACCCTTAATGAAAATGGGTGGAGTGTATTAAATGAGGTGAGTGATGTGTAATAAATAAAGTAAGTGGGGGTAGTTGTGGTATTTTAATTGTTAAAAAATGAAATGAGAAGATCTATTGTGAACAAAGAAAAAGGGCTATTGGGAAGATCTATGGGGGACGGAGGGAGTAATTATACACAATTTATTTTAAAAACAAAATGTAAATAAGATTTTAAGACAATTAAAAAGGAAAACTGAAAAAAGTTACGTTAGAGAGTGGATGACTATAACATCAACTAATTTACTCATTTGAACGTTTTATTGTATTTATCAATCTAATTTGAATGTTTGGTACATAGAAAGTTGTTGTTGCTTTGAAAGTTAGATCGTAGCACTAGTTAAAAATCTGTTTGCATATATTGCGTTCAAGCTCGGTTAAATCTTGATGCCTACCTAATGGCTGTGAACTGTGGACTAGAAGCTACTCAAAAAAATGTTGATGCCTACCTAAGTAATTAATTAACTTCCGATTCGAAAGCCTCTTTCGAAGCGCGAATTAGGTACTGATGGAGTACTTTTTGCATCGGTTAAACAATTAGTGCAAAAATAATTTGCACCAATTGCACCGCTATCATTTGCATCAGTTAGGAACTGATTCAAAAGGTCTAAAACAATCGATGCAAAAGCTTATTTTTATAGTAGTCTACCTATCAAATTCTACAACTAATATATCCATTGTATTATACTTTTGTCTATCAGATCTAATGATAATTTGGACAAGTCAAAAGAAAAACATCCTCCATTAAATCTTTATACACAAAATACGAAATATTTTAAGGATGGAGGAAATAGTTTTTTGAGTATCATTGTTTTGACTCAAAAAAAACTAGCTTAGACACAATAATAAGAGATGGAGGTATAGTAGTATTAACATTCAAGTGGTTCTAGGGCGACACAAAGTACTGGCACCAAATGTACACGAAAACTTATACAGACAAAGACACTTAGAGGCTGTTTGACAACTTCTGAATAGGTAAGTGTTGAATCAGTAAGAGGTCTGAACCATTAAGTGTTGAACCAGTAAGAGGTCTGAACTATTAAGAGCTAGTATATTGCTTAACTATTCAGAGGCAAATGTCTGATCAATTCAGATAAGAGGTCTTAATCATTCAGACTTTGTATAATACTTAACCATTCAGAGGCAAATGTCTGAACCATTCAGACATCTGAACCATTTAGAGGCTGAAACAAACACTCTGAACCATTAAGTGCTGAACCATTCAGACATCTGAACCATTAAGAGGTTGAAACAAACAGCCCCTTAATATTTGTACACACATAGATATTAAATGTCTTTGTGTAAGCCTTGGTAGGGTGAGTAAGTCTGGAACTAATTTCAAAAATTACCAAAAAATCAAGAGTACTGAACAGTACCAAAACGAAATAGTACTACCGAACCAAATGGTGGGTACAACATTTGGAAATGGTACGAACTAACTTCTCATACCAAAAATCTTGAACCGAACATATTTACTAATGTATTATAACAATAATATATATATATTTCTTTTTAAATACTCTATAATAAACATAATTTGAAAATTTGGTTCAAATTTTATAATGTGTAATTATACTTTTATTCAACTTTTAGTTTTTCGTAGATAAATAAAAAATATTAACAACATTTGAAATAAACATTCAAGATTGCTAATAGTAATAGATAGTAAGAACATTTTTTCAGGGGGGGAATATATGTAGGTAATATAATGTGAGCTAATATATATACAAGGGATAGAGGGATGGGGTTGGAGGAGAATGAGAAAAAAGGGGGTCAAACATCTAAGGTCCATGATGAGCCTTCATATATGTTAAAAAAGCATTTTCAAGAATTGAAATAAACATTTTTAGAATTAAAAAAAGGGAGCTTCTTTATATGTAGCATAGAATCACTCAAAAGAGGGGAGGGGAAGATGGAGTATATTAATGGGGGAGAAGATTTGACAGAGAGGCAGATGAAAATATTCAATTGGCCATAAATTAAAAGAAGCCATTGGCTCCCCCGGCCCTCTCAATTCAATTGCTTTTTAATTTCTTGTTGAGAAGTTGTGTATGGTACAGATGATAGCACTCCGTATATTCATATCTTTCCTCCCAATCCATCTCACCCCTCTCTCTTTCTCTGAGAGATTTACACACAGTCACAGTACTTAATGTAGAAGTAATAGTTACCTCTCTTTCTACGCATTGTATAATTAATTCATGTATCCCCAGCCAGCCTTTCACTCTCACACAACTACCTTCAATTCAATTTTCTTTTTTTTCTTTTTCTTCAACCTTTATAAATTTGCTTTTATATTAGTCAGCAACAGCCATGTAAAATTAATTAACTCGTTCATTATTTACTGATTTTGATATATATATATATATATATATATATATATATATATATATATATATATAAATTCAGTGCATATATGTAAGTATATATGGCACCAGATAACAAACTTATTATGGCTTGCTGAATCCAGATATATACGGAGTATATATATACTTCTTCTTCTTCTTCTTCTTCTTCTTTAGTCTGCAGAACTGTTCTTTTTTCTTTTCTTTCCCCTTTTCCAACCCCCTTTTTATTAATATCTCTCTGCAGGCAGGTGGTTCATTCTGGTTCAGTTCATCACTTCACAAAATATTTAAAGAACATAGGAAAAAAAAGTGTACCTTCATTATTATTTCTTCCGGGCCACCTGTACGTCATTGCAATGGCACAGAATGAAATGGGCACTGTTTGGAATTGGAAAAGAACTTCTTCTTCTTCTTCTTCTTCTTGGGGTTTTCTTCTTCTTCTCCGTGTTTATATTGTAGTGTGGTTTTGTGTTTCATCATCGACTGTGTTGTGCCAAAGGAGTGATCACGAATTGGAAGCAAACCAAACAACAACTGCAAGAAGGAGAAGCAGCAGACAAAGATATGTGAGCAGCTTCAGGCTTGCTAGGATTCACAACCATCTTAACACCATTAACAAATCCCCTCTTCTTACCATCCAGGTAATTATTAACATGTACACTCTATTCACTAAATCATGTTTATTACTCCAATTAGTAATTTATTCCCCACATCTATATTTCGTGTGTGTGTGTGTGTGTGAATGACATTCTATTCGTAATTTCGAACACGACCCAAATTGAACCCCCCCCCCCTTTTATGTGATGAGTTAGCTATTTGCTAGTGCGTGTCTAGTAAAAACATTCGGGTTTCTATAATTTTGACTCGGATTCAAGTCTTCTAAGGTGGCCAGGACCGAGCTCAATCGGGGTAGATTATCATCCCATCAAAACAGTGTTGCTTGGTTTTGAAACACATTATTATTAAATACGGAGTAATTTTAATTATGTTTGTTATACCTAAAAATGATTGGAGGTTACATTAATTAATTTTTTTAATACATGTATACACATTATTGCATGTGTGGTTTTGTGTTTTAGAGCCCAGATGGAGATATTATAGATTGTGTTCATAAAAGGAAACAGCCAGCTCTTGATCATCCTCTTCTCAAGAACCACAAGATCCAGGTAACATATATACTACATAATGCATGCCTTACATTTAAATGAAGCTAATAAGTTAAGGTATAGTAATGCTCATTAATAATCATTAAGAAATTTATAAAATGATTCCTGTTTTGACTAATGGTGAAATAAATAAGATATGTATATTTGTAGTTAATTTTCCAACTTTACCCTTAATGTAGTGGGTAAAAATAAAATGTGATGAGTAGATTAGTGAAAAAGTATGATGTAAAGTAAGAATCGATAGTGTAAAAGTATTTTTTAAGTAAAAAGTAGAAGCATTTTAGTGAAAGAAAAAAATAAAACATGATGTATTTTCGAAAATAGAGGGAGTAATAGATAGGGTATTAATCATGCATCTCTCTAGAAGAATTAAATAAGAAAGATATATATATGAGGGAAAGATGATGGTGATGATGATCAATATTAATAACTGTTATTATTATTTTCAACTACCAACTACCTGCCTTTCAATTTTTTCCCTTCTTTTATTATTACTCCGCATAAGTGCACAGCCCAGTGATCAATGGCTTCCTTAAATTAAGCTACAAGCTACTGTAATCAATATGGATTGGATCCAGTGTTATACACAAATAAATCCAACTATACTACTCTCGTCGTCACAGTATATTCGTCTAATTTGACTTTTTCAAGTCAAACTGGATAAACTTTAATCATCAATTACTCTTAATTAGTATTGCGTATTTATACAATAAAATAAAATTTTAAAAGTTCTTAACAAGACAAGTCTAATGAAATAATTCTTATACTAATACACATTACTCTTTTTATTTAATTGAGGTCCAAAGTTCATCGTGTCTGACTCGAAAAAGTCAAACTGGACGAATACACTTGGACGAAGACGTACCGTTAACAAAGTGTGTCAATGTCAAAACTAATAGGTAAACCTTTAATTTATATGGGTAAACCTTTAATTTAAAATTTTTTTATAAAAAAAAAATACAGTAGTTAATTTGAAAATTTTGCCATATTTCAAAATTTTCCTAATAATACTCAATGATACAATTATAATAAAGACTGATCTTGGAATGATATGATGATTATATATGAGTGCAGAGGGTTGCGCCGGAAATGCCTAAGATGATGGAACAACAACACTTGGAGGAAGCAGCCGGTGGTGGGGATAGGGTGAGGGTGACCAGCGCCGCCACTGGCAACCACAGCAGCATGGGTGCCGTGCAGCAGCTGTGGCACCAGAGAGGGCTACGTTGTCCCAAAGGGACGGTGCCGATACGGCGGAGCACGGTGGACGACGTGTTGAGGGCCAAATCTCTTTACGATTTCGGGAAGAAACAGCGGCGGCGATACGCTCCGCTTGCCCGGCGTGCCGATGCCCCGGACGTCGTTAGCGGCAACGGTCATGAGGTGAGTGCATAATTTTAGTCAAGATAGACCATCAAAACAGAATCACTAAGGTTCAAGTGACATTGGACCTCAATGTCATGGGATGACCTGGGGCATTCCAGTGCCCCGTTCATAAAATTGACGGTTCCTACCCCCCTTACCCCTGGTAAACCCTCCACCCGGCCCAGACCCGAACACACCTCCCCACCCCATTCAATTGCACCCCACAAGTTGATTTTGACTTTAGAGTCAAATTTTATGAAAAAATGGTTACGATGTAGCATGCAATCGCGTACACCGGCGCCTCAGAGGATATATATGGAGCGAAGGCGACGATAAACGTGTGGGACCCATCGATAGAGACGGTCAACGAGTTTAGCCTCTCCCAGATATGGGTCCTCTCCGGTTCTTTCGACGGCTCGGACCTCAACAGCATTGAAGCTGGCTGGCAGGTACTCCTTCCCGCCCATTCTTCTTGGTTAAATTTAGAAAAGTGCTAGGGGTACATCATATATTCCCCACCCCTCCTTGTCCACAATAATTGGCAAAACACAAAAAAAAAGTAAATAAAAATCAAATAAGGATGTGTGGTGGAGAAGCATGTGGTGTAGAATTGGGGTACACCTTTGGTGTACCCCTAGCATGGCTCTTAAATTTAACAATTTTTTGCTGGAGTCTAGTGTTTCATTGAGTATTCTTATTTTGGAAAATACTAGGGGTACACCCAAGTGTACCCCAAACATCCCCACCCCCTCCATCACCACACAAAAAAGGCAAGAAAATTTCAAAATAAAAAGTAAAAAATAAAAAGAAAATAAAATGAATGGTGTAGAGGCAAGTGGTGTACATTTGGGGTACATCTTTGGTGTACCCCTAGCACATCCCATTCTTATTTTAGACTGAAAAATGAAAGAAAAACAAAGAAATAAAATTCCTAATCTTTGATTGTTCTACTAGTCAGGTCAGTCCGGAGCTGTATGGTGATAGCAGACCCAGATTATTCACCTATTGGACGGTCAGATTTCTATCTTACGGCGTATTTCACTTCCTACTTCCTACTCCCTCCATCCACAAAGTTCATCGATTTGACTTTTTTCTTGAATTGTGTTATACTTTAATCATAAATTGTAAAAAAAATATTTAGTTGTAATGTTAATTTAAAAAAATTTGGTTATGATGCTAATTTAGTAAAATTGATTTTATTTTAAAATATAGTTTTGACATATTATGCCAGAGTATTTTTATACTCCATAACATTTAATTATTTAAAAGTATACGGAGTATTTAATTTATGACCAAAAAATAAATTGTACCCGAGTAATAATCTTTATAAGACAAATAGTTGTTGGCCAAAATAAAGGCATGAAGAATTATTACTTTCCGTTTCAATAAATCATTCTCCTTTTGATTTTTAGCCAAAATAAAGAAAGTACGGAGTATATTTTTAGTTAATTTTTTAATTTTACCTTTGATATGATGGCTAAAGTAAGTTATAGTTAGATTATTAATGAAAAAGTATGAAACGATATGTAGGATATGAAAAGGTAGAGATTAAAAGAGTTTTTTAATAAAAAATGAATGTATTTTGAGAAAACGAAAAAAATGAGAAAAAAAGGGTTTATTGATTAGAAATCACCCTAAAGAAGACTAAAACATACTCGGGTAGAAAAAAGTATCCAAATATGACTTTCATGTTTTTTCTGAAATAAGACTTCACAGTGTAGTAATGTAGTTATAATGTGGAACTCTACATGTGCATATTATTATACTTTTTGGTAATGTACATGACCATGTTTGGTAATGTAAATGCATTTTAAGTCATATTTCGGAAAATAAAAAAACATAATCCGTCTCAGAGTATTTGTCCACTTTCATTTTTACACACCATCTCATACACTTCTTTAATCCATTTTATCTTGTAATTTGTATATTAAAAAATTATAGAAATTATATATTAATAATCTATATGTTAAGACAAATCAAACAAGATCACACATGACTATATTTAGGCTTACACATTGAGAGAATTTGATTAGTCAAAGTGCTTAGATGAACAATTCCAAAAGCCAAAATTGGACGAATACTCCGGGACGGAGGAAAATTTTTTTTAGTATATTTTCAATGTTTTAGTCTTATTTGGTCTTTGTTCATCCTAGCTTTTTTAACTAATTAATTGACTTGTAATAACAGAGTGATGCATACCAAGCAACAGGATGTTACAACCTCCTATGCGCCGGATTTGTGCAGACAAACAGCCGGATCGCCATCGGCGCCTCCATCTCTCCCATCTCCGCCGTCGATTCCAGCCAATATGACATCACCATCCTCATCTGGAAAGTCCGTCCTTTCTCAATTTCCTGCTTTCGCGCGGGTGCCCAGATATATACTCAATTCGTTCGGTCGGGTTTTGCAGGATCCGAAGCTGGGGAATTGGTGGATGGGGTTCGGGGACAACACCCTGGTCGGGTACTGGCCGGCGGAGCTGTTCACGCACTTGGCGGACCGGGCGACCATGGTCGAGTGGGGCGGGGAGGTGGTCAACTCTCGGGTCACGGGCGAGCACACGTCCACCCAGATGGGCTCGGGCCTGTTCGCGGAAGAAGGGTTCCGAAGGGCGAGCTATTTCCGGAACCTGGAGGTCGTGGATTCGGATAACAGCTTGAGTTCGGTTCGGGTCATATCCACCCTCGCGGAGAACACCGATTGCTACGATATCAAGAGCTCCTTTAGCGACGAATGGGGAACCCATTTCTATTACGGCGGGCCGGGTAGAGGCCCGAATTGCAATTGACCTCTTCTTTTTTCTTTATTCTTATGCTCCCTAATTATTATGTGCACGCCCAAATTTGTTTTTCGATAGCAAAAAAGAAAAAAAAAACAATTCCTCTCACATACAAGGTTTAACTTCTAGCAAATTCGTCTTTCTCTTGCATCTCCAATAGGTCTTGCCCATGGGAACATACATATAACAAGACATGCATTAGGGAGTAATATTAAGAATAATTAAATATGAAGCAATCATTTTGGAGCTACTAAATACTCATTTTGGAACAATTGCATACTCATTTTTGAATTACTAGATACCCAGTTTTCTAAATTTCAGTTATACTCGTAAATAAGTATTCAGTTACTCAAAAAATGAGTGTTCAATTACTTGATATTCAAGTGAGTATTGATTATTTGAAAACGAGTATTTAAGTGGATGTACGTGAAATATCATACATTCAGATGTATTGTATTGGTACTCACTAAGTAGAAGGCACTCCAAGATTGCCTTCTATATTCCGTAGAATATATGGAACTTGAATAGCTAGCTCGGAAGAGACTCATTGCATGGAGCGATGTATGAAATGAAGGGGGTTTCTATACGCGTAAAACAAAACATTCTGAAGGTCGATTCTTTGGCCATTTTGGTCGTTCTTTGTTATAGTAATGTGTGATAGGAATAGAATTATAATATTATTTATTTCCTTATTATTGCCATATTGTATTTATTTTCCTACCTTATTTAGCATTCTACACAGTGTACTATAAATACTCCTTGGAGTTCATTATTCAATGAGATTAATATTTTATCAAATTATATCATGGTATCGTAGCAAATATTATCAAACACCTAATCTCCTCATCTCGACCGAGCCTCGTTGCCGGCCTCTTCTCTCTTTTTTTCATCGACAGTTGACCGCTGAATATGGCCTGCACGTGTGACTCTCTCGTCTGAGTAAATCCTGTTACCATTTATGTGTATAAGGAATACAATTTATGGTAGAATTACCTTTTTTAATCTCAGAGGCGTTCAAAATCAGTGTGGTGAGTAAATCATGTTACCGTTCACGAATGGCCATTTGTTAACAATTTTGTTAAGAACGTGGATAAAATTGTATATCTTCTCTCTCTCCTCAATTAAGTTTCTTCTCTCCTCTCGTACTCTTTCCCAAACTCGTCGCTGAGTTTAAAGCTCTAAACCCAAAACTGAAATGATCATCCCTCTCTTAATTATTAGTCTTACTGGTGGAACATAAAATCAAAACCAATAAGCTTTATGAATGAGTTTTATCGGTTAATCTCAAAAAATTGCAAAAAAAATAAATATTAAAACTCATCCATGAAGGTTATTGGTTTCGAATTTGGGTTCCCCTAGTCAGACAAACAATTGAGAAAAGAGTGATAATTTTGGTTTTGGATTCAAAGCTTCAAACTCAGCACCGGGTTTGTGAAAGGAGAGCGAAGGGAGGGAGGAAGCTTAATTGAGGAGAGAAAGGAGTGTGAATTTACAATTTTATCCACGTTCTTAACGGAAATATTGACAAATGACCATTTGTGGAAATGATTATAATAATTGGGGACTAAATTAATAATATTTGATATGTAGAGACTAAATATGTAAAACGACTTATAATTGGGGACCTCTTATGAAATCTACTCTTTCATTTATTATGCAAAGTCATGAGCGGAAAAAATAGTCAACATTTCCCATACTGTTAAATAATTGATTGTTGAATTGATTTGTACTTTTCAATAATGATCCCAATATAATTTACTCTGTAATTGATACTCCGTACTACTACGTAGTTAATACTCACGATATGGTAGAGTTTTATTCAATTACTACTCCGTATAAGTTAAAATTTGAACGCTCAAAAAGTTAAACTAACAACAATTATCGAGAACTCCCATACAAAGTACTCTGTATTAATTTACGTTCTGGTCCGCCAGATCTGATCTCATATGATTTTTTGAATTTTTGATCTGATCTGACGTGATTGAATTGAATATGATCTGACTGAATCTAATCTGGGCTGATCTAATCTATTTGGATAAGATATAATCAAATTTTGATTAAAATTATTACCATTATATAATAACTTTTAAACATTATAATGATAATTTATATTTTAATACAACCCAAAATTTTTATTCCATAATTATTAAATTTATGAAACAAAAATAATTAATAAATAATCATAATATTGATAATAATGGAGAACTCCATTGATATGAGTAAAAACACTACGAAAATATGAAAATAGGAGTCATAAGTATTTTAAGACCAAAATAACTGTCATAGTTACACTGTCATACTCACCACATTGTTACATTTTAAGTTTTAACTGTCACACTATCAATGACACAATGCCATCTGTCGCCGCCGGCCACTGGAGTGCCGCTATAGATGCCGACGGTAGACTGATTTCATTGACATATTACACTGTCATCACTTTTTTATCACACTACCAATGCATATTCTAACACTACACTGCCATTAAACTCTTATTTTGGTATTTTCAATTTTTTTACTCCTCTCTAGAGACATTTCTTTAACAATAACAGTAATAATAATACTAGTAACAATAGTGATAGTAATAATAATGGTAATAGTAATAATAATCATAATAATAACAATAATAATAACGGCCCATTTCTTTTGACGACAAAAATGAGTGTCACATTATGACAAAACTCCCTGCCCCCACCCAAAACACCGATTGACTATAGTGTTATTGAATCCAATCAACTTCTAGGGGGGTGGGTTCGGGTTTAGGGGAAGGAGTTAGGGGGTAAAAATTATCAATTTTTTTGAGGAGAATAGCGCAGGTCTTGTTGTCATAATATGACAACAATTGTTATTGTCAAAAGAAGTCAACTATAGCAATAATAATAATAATGATAATAATAATAATAATAGTAATAGTATTAATAATAATAATAGTAATAATAATAATAACAATAATTGTAATAATAATAAAAATAGTAATAATAATAGTATTAATTAGGGGTGTACAAAATCCGGGTTGGACCGGAAAACCGGATCGGACCGGACCGGGAAAATCGGTTCCGGGCTAGACTGATAAAAATCCGGACCGGTCTCCGATCTAAAGATTTTGGACCGGTAAAATTCCGGTCCAAGACCGGATCGTTTCCGGGTCGGACCGGTAAGACCGGATTGTCTATTTTTTTAAAAAAATTAATACTTATGATACGGAGTTTACGTATAATTATAAATACGATTGTATATTTTCATTTGTTCTCCTCACTTTTTAATATGAAGCATAATTTTTTAAATGTAATTTGTATCTTTTAATTCATTTCATTGACCTTTATCCAAGAATATCCATAATTATAAAAAACTAAAATCATTTCCCAAAAATTAAAGTAGAATCTTTCGATTTAAAGTATTAAATACTTTGACGTATAAATTAGACTTGCTAAAACCAAAGTAATTTAAAGTAAAACTTTTTAATATTTTTGAAATTTCAAAACTAAAGGAAGTATAAAAATCATTTTACACTTATTATATTGTTGATAAAAATATTTTATATTAATATAATTTCTTGAAACACAACTAATTTATATAAAAATTAAATGTAGGGTTGAAATCAATTCAAATCAAGCTACAAATTTGAAAACAAGTTTTAAAAATAGATAAAAATAATTGAAAAAATAAATTCCGGGTTTTCCGGTTTTTACCCGGACCGGACCGGAAAAAATCGGTCCGGACCGGTCCGGACCGGAATCTTACCGGTCCGGTTTCCGGTCCTATGCTTTAGGGGATTCCGGATTTCCGGTTCCGGTCCGGTCCGGTTCTGGACCGGTGTACACCCCTAGTATTAATTATAATAGTAACAATAATAATAGTGATGATAATCATAATTACAATCATAATAATACTAAAAATAATAATAATATAATAGTGATGATAATAATAATAGTAATGCTAATTATAGTAGCAATTAGAATAGTAAAGATAATAATACTAATTATAGTAATAATAATAGTAATAGTAATAATAATAGTAATAGTGCTAATAATATGAATAGTAATAATATTAATAATAATGATAATAATAATAGTAACAATTCTGATTAGATCTGATATAATTGAATTTGATTTGATTGAATCTAAATATATTTAATCTAAATTTAATAAGAATAAATAATAAATAGAAAAAATAAGTTAAAAAATAATAAATCAATAACCTGAATTATAAAAAAAAAATCAATAGCCCAGATTTCAATTTTCAGTACTGCATTTCATCCTCTTCTCCCCATCAATTCCCAAACAAACCCCTTCAACTTCATATTCCCAAGATTCCCACGCAAAACATCCGTTTCCGCTAGTAGAATTTGAAAACCCTGAATCCGAAATGGCCGAAGATGGAGAAGAGAAAGAGGAGGATGTTCAGCAAGAAGAACAGGAAGATGAAGACATCGAAGAGGCTTCGTCAGAAACCGATGATTCCTTCATCGAAGACGATAATGAATTAGCCGCAGAAGAAGCAGAATTGCTTCCCGAGGTATCGCACCGCTGCAATATTGCATCTACATTCCGAGTGCAACTGTTTACACTCAATTTCTTAATTTTTTTAAATTGTAAATCTGAATTGCTGTTGCTATGCTGGCTTTTTTGTGTAAACTGTAGGAGCCTTTGACAGAAGAAGAAATTGAAGAGCTCATTGCTGAACTTCTTGAAGTTGAAAGTAAGGTATACAATAGCCGCTGCTTATTTAGCCCCCACCTAAAAAAATTGGCACTTCTGACAATAGCTGAATTTGATTCTTCGGCTTATTGTAACAACTTTGGTGTTCCCGGGGCATTTTCTTTAGGCTGCAGAGGCACAAGAGGCTCTAGAACAAGAGTCACTGGCAAAAGTGGAGGCCGATGTTAGGGCAGAGCTGGCTCAAGAACTCACTGTTGATGATGTATGATCATTTATATTTATCTGTTTAATATTCTGTTCAACTTGTCTCTGCACCGATGATGATTTTCACAAAAGCTGATGTAGACCTTCTGGTCATGTTTTAATTTTTGGCTGATTCAGTTGGAAGTTGCGGTTGCTGAAGAGATGAAGATATATAAGCTGGAGTGGGAAAATGCGCTCGATGAACTTGAGACAGAAAGTGCTCAACTTTTGGTACCAATTGATTTACATTTTTTTGAGTTTTAATTTTCTTCTTTTCAGTTCCATCCTTTCTCCTTGTGATTAATAGCTTACATGTTTTTTTTATTCAAATGTTTTGCGAACAATATGAAGCATATTGTACATTTGTTTATGGCTTTAGATTGAAAAGCAGTAACTGAATTTAATGCAAAATTTTGTTATAAAGTTCTGTTGATTAATTCCAATCTTGCCTTACATGTTCATCAACTAGAATTTAAGTTTTACCTAAGCCTTTTGCGTGCCTCCCATTTTGAGGAAGAGGTAGAATGCCTAATAATAGAGGAGATGCAGCACGTTTGTTCTTACAGTGGAATTGTGCTAGGATATGCATGTAAACTGTGATCAAGAATTGAAGTTCTTTGATCAAGATGGTGCAGCTGCAACCTTAAGCTACAGTGGATTCACTTACGCTACTTTCTCGGAGGAGAGAGATACTATAAGATATTTATGGAATATGGATTGTAATCAGCAAGCATAATACTTTTGTGCAGGATACCACACACTTTTACTACAAGAACATCTTAATATATACATTTAAGTTTTATAAGTCATGCAAACAGCCATATTTTATCTTTAGAAATTAAAAGTAAGGGACATGTATATGTGATTTTTTTTTCTTTTTAAATAATAATTGTGTCAATGGGTATCTTCAAGTTACATGTATCAAAGACGCAAATGTGATGAAATTCAATTAAAAATGTTTCATTCACCCCACACCTGTAGTTATTGAAACCCATTACTGCAGTCCCTTGCAACATGAGTGGTAGAAAGTCAAAATCATGCATTTGATTCCATATTTTCATCAATACGCAAACATTAAACTTATTCAATACAACTCAACAGGAGCAACTGGATGGTGCTGGAATTGAACTTCCAAGTCTATATAAGTGGATTGAAAGTCAAGCTCCCAATAGTTGCTGCACTGAAGCATGGAGAAGGAGAACTCAGTGGGTTGGATCTCACGCAACAAGCGATTCTAGTGAAGCTGTCACCGATGCTGAGAAATATCTTGATATTCATAGACCTGTAAGAAGGTGGCATTTCTGAATTCTGATATGTCTAATATAATCTCCTGTTTTTTTACTTGACTCATTTTGGTTTACGATGTTGGAGAGAAATTATTTTCATTTCAAGTTATGGAAAATGGTGTAAAATTATATATATATATATATATATATATATATATATATATCTGTGTGTGTGTATAACTACATAAAAATTGTAAAAAACTAGAGGTGACATGACCATATTATTATATCAAATGGGTAATGGAAATATGCAAAGAAAGAGGGTGAAGTTTGACCGTGTGAGTTGTGAATGAGTAAGTAAAAACAAACAGTGGGAGTATGTGTGTGTGTCTACACACGTACTCCTTTTGCCCCAAGATGATATTTACACACGTACTCCTTTTGCCCCAAGATGATATTTACACTTTCTTTTTCTTAATGTCTCAAAATGGAGTTCAAACTTTTCTTTTTCCCTTTTAGAAAATGAATATGTGGCCCTTATAATTTCCCTCTCTTCTAGATAAATTTAACCACACTTCTTTCACTTTTCACAATACACCCTTCACCTTTCAACACTTTTCTTAA